CCGAACTGGCCACCGTAGTGAACGGGAGAGCCTCACATTTCAGACTAGAGAGACATTGGATGATATGGCTGAAGTAGTGGCGCTGGTACATATACTCCATGTCCTCGAAACCTTAGCCTTCATGAACTCTCTGTTTTCATTCTTACACCGATTTCAACATTTCAATCTTCTCTGTCCTTATCCATCCAAATGGAAAACCATAAGACAACATCCAAAACTGGCGCACGAAAGCGCATGGTTAACGGTTATTAAAACTAGCTGAACTGAACCTGTGAGGTAGCACTTTTTTCTTATGATTACCAATGGCTTCCTAGGGGCTGATTCGCCATCCAGTAGATGCAATCCAGGGATTTCCTTTTATAGATTTTGAATCAGGCATAGATCTCGTCCACTTCCTAACGCGTGATTATCTTCGCAAGCCGTATGCCATGTAGCCAATATTTATTTTTCAGTTAGTTTCAACTGGATTTAACCTACCTGTTAAGCGCTAGCAGTTTATATATGCCAGAGATTCTTAGAGCGATCGGGATCAGATTGAGAAGATGGAATATAGTCTGAGACAAAACCATAAGCCCAATAACCCTAACACGATCGGATTCCGACGCATTAAAACTGCACATCACAATTCACCAATTTTTGTGGCTTCCTGTTCACCCCTTTAATTGTTTTCTCCAATACTTGATCTTCCGAACGAATCTGTCAATAAGAATCTTCCTCCTACACCCCGGAATCCCTTGTGATCGATATATTTCTCCCGTGAGAGAATATACTGTACTTCCAGTATCGTCGCAAAACTGCATCCACCGTGCACGTCTTTCAATTGCGTGATTACATCGATGTCGCTGACCCAGTTGATATTGTGACCGCACTGAGAAGTCGAGCTGAGTAGGCCATCGTCGGCTGAATTTCTATCAGTAGCCCCTTATGTCTGATTCTATTGCTCGGTTCACACCAAGAAACCATATTACTTCAAATACTCTTGTTATNCCGCCTACGCTCCCACCTACAGGACGGATCTGATTCTGGAAGCAGTCCTGCCTTCGTACGAGAATAGTGGCATCGGTTTGATCCCAGATGAAACTGTCGGGAGTATCACAATGACTTTTTCGTCTCTGACCCAACGAGCTACACGGGATGGCTTTTTTGAGCCAAAGATCTAATCATCCCTGGCACGTCGAAGTCCAGTCTCCTGGTCCTCTAAGTTGGGGGTTCAACCAGAGTTGGCGTCTCAATCGGTAAAAAGGGGTGGAGGAGTAATCGGTCCAAATAAATGGGCCTCCGCTTCGCTTCCCCCGTTGCCTTACCGTTAGGCAGAACAAAAGGCTTTAGACGAGAGCCCTAATCATTCTCTTGCTTAATGGTTAGACTCCCTGACTGCCTGTTCATAAAGCTCCAATAAACACTGCGCAGGACAATCAGGATCGCACCCATTGCATCGGGCGGGGTGGTTAGTCATCAGTGGGCTACCGCTCTGAAATTCCAACCTTTGTTTGTCTTCTATACCCAGCTCTCTCCTCTTGCCCCTTCTTCCGACCCATAACACTCCATCAGACAATTTGTTTACCGCTCGTCAAAGTTCGTTGCCCAATAGCACTGTAAGTAGTTTACCAGTGAATAAAGTGCAGATTCTGAGGCTTCGTCAACCTCCATTTGGGGGCCTTCGACGTGAGGACTCTGATGCAGGTAAGTCAACTAGCCTGTTTGGCGCGTAAAATTAACTCTTTGGGTATTGATGTCTGTTGCATATCAGAAACATAAATTCAGGATCCTAATAGTATAAACCATCCGGTTGTACCGGTTCTGTCCTCGGGATACTTCCTCACATCTGGAGACTGTGAAGCCCACTCTTTGGGCCAGTGAGGTGTACGAATCGTACTAAACCATAAACCTGAGGCCTCACTAGATACGATACTCGGCAACAGTCGTTTGTGTGTA